CTCCCATCCCCCAGAAGCCTCCTCCCACGCAGCCAGCCAACCAGCAGGGAAAGAGAGAACGCATCGCAAATATATCGTCAGGATTAGCTTTGAGGAAATTATCGAGCAATGGCAACAACAGCCACAGTATTCACTTGGGCAAGGCAAGACGGAGCGAGACTCGGACTTTAACCGACCACGCTGCGGAAGCTCAGAGCTTCGAGGAAGCCACCCAGATCCTCCTTTTGGACTTCTACGACACAATGCTCGAAACTGTCGATGCGCACTCGAGTGTTGGTCTCCTGCACCACCTCCTGGAAAGCGATACCGAATCGGTTCCGCAAAAGGTGCTTGTTGCCGCGCATATCAAGCTCGTCGTCCTCAGACTCCGACTCCGATTCCGATGATGACTCCTCCGTCTCCTCGGCTTCTTCTTCATCGTCATCGTCGTTTCCACGTTGAGCACGCTCGGCTGCGCGCTGCGCTCGACGTTCCTCATGCTCTTTTTGCTTCTTCTCCTTTGCTTCCTTTTTCTTACGGCGTTCTTCTTGACGCTTGTGCATCGCCGCGTAATCAATCACACCTCCGCCGCCACCCGTACCGACAACGACATACAGGCCTCGGTCTTCGTCAAGGCCGGCCAGTACCAAGGGAGTCCCTGCGGCTCGCCGCTTTCCAATCTTTACACTGTCGCCTCGCTCACGCTCTTGGACTCTGATGGCCTCGGCTATCCAGAGAGCCAATTTCGTCAGGGCTCCAGGATTTGTGAACAGTTTGACATCTGGACCGTCCTTAACAACAGCAATGCGAAATGCTCGCAGGTGTCGGATTTGGTGCTTCGATAGTAGAGAGGTACCGGTACGCAGAATGGCTCGGTGGAGATGCTGAGCAAGTGGGAGTGCCTTCAGAAGGAGGGTGGGCGATTCCGAGGTGAGCGATAAAGCATCGTATGCGCTCCAGAATCGCGGCAGGAGGCTAGACAAATCAGACTCGGTGGAGTCCTCGGCGCCATTCCCCTCATTTGCGCTTTTGGGGCGCGAGAGGCGCTTTGTGTCCCAGGTGGCGCCAGGAGCCTCTTCTGGCCCAACCTCGAGGATCGCGCCTATAATAACGCCCACGTCCGTGGCGGAAAGACAGGCTTTCCAGCCCCAGCAGCGCACGAAGCCCCACCCCTCGCGGGAGGAGACCTGTCCAGATGCGTCGGGCGGCACTAGTCCTTCCAGTCCGTACATTGGTGCATACTTGAGAAGTCGTTGTCGTAGTACTCGCTTCAATTCCATATCCATGTGAGTGTAGTTCTGATGACACTGGCTCAAGCTGATTCCCATCTTCGCGAGGAGCTTGTGTAATCGCTTCCGACCATTCTCCGTCCAAACGTGGAGTCTTGATGCCAGATAGGGACTATGTAGCATACTTTCGTAGAGTGACCAGTGCCGCACCAGAATGAAACGGGGTTCGGGAGATATTCGAATAGACTTGTCTGTTGGCGATCTGGCGGTTGTGGGGATGACGCCGTTGATCTCCCCTCTAATGTCTCTGTCCCGCTCGTACGGGTCGGGCGGGTTCAGTCGATGAACTTCATCTCGTAATATTTGACGAACGCGTTCTCCCCGCTCTCCACCCCAGCCAGCAGACCCCCCAGATTCGGATGAGTTGGAGATGCCAACGCCAGACATCGTACGACCACTAAGTTCCAAGCTAGAGACGCCGACGATGGCCAACCACAGAAGGTCGTTATCTTCCCGACCGAGTTCAGATGCGAGAGAATACACAAGCGAAGAGATCGGTTCGGAATATGATGTGCCGGTGGAATAATACTTCTGTAACACTTTCTCATGTTTCCTCTTGAGCCGAATCAGCCGTCGCCTCAATGATCGTGCAGATGGCTGCCTCGGCAGCGTGGGTGACGGCGAATCTGAGGCCGGTGTCACGGAGCGAGAAGAATTCGAAGAGTTGTGGTCGTCCCTTAGTCGACGACTCGGAGACGAAGCAACAATGGAGGATCCCTGCCGGGGGACGTTAGAGATCACAGCAAATAGCAAACATAAGAGCAGACCGCGAACATACTGAATTACTCCTCCGCCGTTGACGCGGGGGGCCATCGTTCTCGTCGGATTCATCCTCATCTTCGCGTCCTGACCATGACTTCCTCTTCTTGGACCCCGAGCTGGATGGAAGCTCTTCGTCATCCTCGCTCCCGGAACCGTCAATATCCTCTTCATCTTCGTCTACCTCCGGTATCTCCAACAGCGCGCAGTACGCCTCTCTCTCCTTGTTCATCTCCTCCTCGATATCCCCGTCATCGTAGACGACAATACCACCAGTACCCGATTTGTACGACGGAGTAATGCATCCCTTGTCGACACCGCGCGTGTTCCGCCGTGAAGCGCCATCAACCCCATCCGCCGAAGCCGCCGCTGCCTCTCCGCCAAAGACATTGCTCAGATTCCACGGTCGCCGCGAGTCGAAGACCCAAACCTCCACCCCTCCCATATCCTCCACCTCATCGTCCGGGCTGCTCAGACAGAGTATCTCGTTGAGATCCACCAAGCCTCCCACGCCTAGACATATGACCACGCCCCCACTGCCCCCGTTGTGCGTTTGCATAGGCTTGACCAGCTCCTCGCCGGCGCGTGCGAGATCGCCATATCCGGCTACCGGTTGGATCTTGTGTGGGATATAGTCGCGCTTCAGGAGGGCGGTCAGGATTCGACAAGCGCAGAGGGCATCGGGTTCTAGTGCTACGAGGACCAGCACGGGAGGAGAGAGCGGGTGATGTGATCGGAGGAGTTGTAGGTAGAGATGCGATATGAGTTGACGAGGAAGATACATTGCAGCGCAATCCAAGGCAGCACGAAGCACACGACAAAACGGAACAAGGGCTTGAAGATAGAAAAGAAAAGAAACGAATAAAATCCAGGCCTTCGAGAGGCCCTGCTCTTTACAAGAAATCAAACAGAGTATAATTAGGAAGAGCACAAAACTCAATTGCGTTATATCGGCTCCATCGTTCCTGTTGTTGATTGTTATCAAGGCTGTTCTCGTCGGCGCAGGGTGCAATCCGTCGCGAATCTCCAGCGACGCGTCGAGGCGTGCCGCACGTGCGGAGACCAGTGCCAAGCCCAACCTCAGCCATCAATCTCAGTGGGGATCGCGAATCGTCAGGGCAGCATTTCCAAGGAAGACAGTCGTACTTGGTCCAAGCATACTCCATATGAGCATTGATGTCATGCTTCAGTCTAAAAGGACACTAAGAACAACCTACTCTTGAGTCTTGACTGGCACCGAGCCAAGTTCCTGCTCTACGTCTTGGATCTCGGAGATGCATGCTCCTATCCTGTATTCCGACTGTCAAGGATGCTCTCTATCTACCAGTTCCTCCTCTCTCCTCGGTAGGAGCAGAAAAGAAGACAGTTTCAAAAAAAAGAATAAGTAAAAAGAAATAAGTGACCAGTGCCGGGCTCGATCCGGCGACCTTATCGGTGTTAACGATACGTGATAACCAACTACACCAACCGGCCGCTTGTTATGAAAACATGTTGAAAATATAAGATCACCAATCTAATCACATATAATTATGCATCACTCTTTCTTCCCCCAAGTTGAACACCCATGGTTTCAAGCTACCTTGCTTTTCTAAAGCCTCCTCTTCGCAGCTTTCATCATGATACCTCATACCAGAACGAGCTGCTTCGATGCTCGATTGCTCCGCGGCCTAGTAGGCACTACGGTCACCACATATGACCTTGTCTCAGACGGTGCGTCACCAGAATCTACCTCCCTCGCCCCCTCCACCCGAACCCTCTCGCGCTACGACCTCTCCCGCCCCAGCCTCTGCTCTGGCGGCTTCTCCAATGACAGTCGTATCTGCCTCATCAGGGATCTCCCGGACGTGGGTCATCACGGAGAAACTCTCGGAGAGGGCAGCTCCTATGACAGATCACGATGTCAAAATGGGCCGCGGGTCTCCTAAAACTGTTGGCAAGTTTCTGTGCCACCTTGCAGAGGACCCGAAGCAGATAGCGTTCATACGAGTCTACCAACAGATTCCTATCACTGGAACGGAGGACGCTGATCACGACACACTGGCTAGACAGGCCGTTCCCCCTGGCGTGTGTGGTGAGCTAGAGTCCTTTAAACTATTGCAGAGTGGAGGCTGTAGCGCTGTTCCTCGCTTCCTTGGCCACGCAGAAAGTATACAAGGAGAGCACGACCTCGTTCCTGGCGGCTACGTTAGATACCTTGTGTGGGAAAAGGTCCCTGGTGAGCCTCTAACAGAGGAATTCTTCTGGGGCTTGGATGACACTGTACGCAAAGACATCCGTTCTAAGTTCCGTGCCGCCTATGAGTAAGTCTATACAAATCTTAGGTAGGCAGACAGACAGGATACTAATATAATGAAAAGACAGATACTTAGTTGCGGGGTAGCACCAGGTCAGTCCAGAATCTCGAAGATCATCTTTGATCAGTCCACAGGCAACCTGTACGTCAGGCATGCTATGTAAATGTGTTCGAAATATATACTAACGGATTACAGTCGCATTTCGGGTTTCCGAAGGGGATGGCCAATTATCAGTAAACTTGAATGGTCAGAGGCTCGTTACGTCGAGTTTGGACTAGCGAAGCCAAGCAAAGAGACAGACTGGTACCTTCACCCGGAAAAATGGGAGTGGTGAACTATGGAACAGCAATGTCATAATCAGTTAGAATCAGATTCAGTTCGAATCGCTGCAGTCAAGATGAAATCCTTTTGCTCCTCTATCCCCTGCTTTTCGATTACCCGGTTTGAGAAATTGTCATGTAGAGATAGTATCACAAAGTTTCAGTCGCTAACGTCGCCGTATTGTCCCAGGACATGTATTGTTAAATGCTCTGTGGGCTAACGTTTCTTTGCATTTCCTGTCGCGCTGAGATTCCAGGCATAACGCTTACAGCCGGTATATCACTACGGGAAGCTCAGAAGCTTATACAAGTCCCTATAGTACGGCCCCCAGTACCTTCTTCAGCAGCACCCGCGGAGCCTAGTCAATCAGCACTAGTACAAGCGCGACGACGTCTACTGACATGAGGAAACCGTAGAGATAGACTATCGGTCAAGTAATCGTCCAGTTAGTTGGCCTGATTAATACCAAGGCGTTTTTGTTACAATGGGTGTGAGCAGGAAGTGGGTGCACTCAGGTGGGCGGCTCGGTGACGAATGAATTGCATTATTGTTATTCAACCAAGTACAACTGCGGGTCTATAGTGGATACCCTCGGAGTGGATACAGTATGTAGATGATATCTAGAGCTATCAAGCGCCAAAAATATTGACCAGACCGGGGTTCGATCAACGTAGATACCCTTGTCTGGGGCGGAATAGGTAAAGCTAAAGTCGGACGGGGGCTAGTGTAGGTAACGTCGCGTAAATCGCGGTCAAGGACTAGGAGATTCGCACCGGCGATAAGGGGGACCGGAGCTCGGCGATCCGAATCATAGCAAAAAAGCCTTAAATTAAGTGTAGCTTGTGTTGAGGGTGCACGGGCAAGCGGGAGAAATAAACAAGCAGAAGGGTGAAAATACAGTGTAAAGGTCGAGGGGCGATAGAGGGGACTTTATAGAAACACGCACCAGGACACGAAATCGCCAGGAGAGACTAATCCTAATCAGGCACGCTATACCTTATAGCGTAATTCACAGGTGCTGCATGATATGTGATAACCAACTACACCAACCGGCTGCTTATTATGAAAACATATCAAAATTTGACACTCTGAGCCTGGACTGACTCCCACACTCGAATCGAAAATTAAAGCTAAAAAGAAACAGTGACCACTTCCAATCTAGCCGAAGATATTTCGCTCCGCACGGACCTTATTCCCCACCTTGACTGTGATCATTCGTCATTGTGTATCTAACCTGTGCCTCCTGTAAGAGCATCCTAACTCTGTGGCTCACTCACGCGAGTCATATCACTCATATATCTTATGCAGGCTCCCCTTGTTTGGACCCCCTCGCCTCCTAAGAGTGGCACTTGGCCTCCGCTGCCCTCAGTGAGTATAACCTTGCGCCTAGCCTGCTTGGTTGTGGTTGACTTCCTGACACCTAGTTCATTGCGCCGCCGGGGTGGACCACCACTCCATCCGGCGATACATTCAAAGACGAGTGGCTGGGCCGGAACTCTGAAGGGCAGATAATTGCTAGGTGCCATGGCCTTGGACCGGCTAGGCCGATAATGGAGGATCTTCAGGCTTGGACGACTATGTTCCAAGCAGACGGAAAGTTTTTTGTCTGGGGACGCATGGATGATACCGTGCGGGAAATACTTTCGCGGGATCTCCATGAGATTCTCTCGGCGATGGCTACGGGAGGGCTTCGAGAGGTCCAAATGGTCGACATCCCTTGTCTTTACGATCCAAGCGAGTTGGGTGATGGATCTTGAATGAATAGTTAGTTCCGCTTGCAAGGTCTGTCGCATTGCTCCATAATCCAAGTGAAATCATCCAGGTCGACGAAGCAAATAGCGCTATGACCAACGACGTACTGTACCAGAGAAACCGGGTCAAAAACAGTGTGAGCTTTCTGTGCGCGACAATTTCCATAAGCCACTAGAGTGCTGCATAGCTTCCCATATTTCTTTCCCCTCCCCCTAACCCCTTCATTCTGACACATTACACATATCTTCCACTATCGTACACACTCTTGTACATTTTTTGGTAGGCTTGGCGCTGCGAGAGCCGCAAGGGCGCCGAAGGACCTCCTACAGACTCCGGGTTTGAATCAGAACAATATAAGAAGGGTGCTAATATAGACACACCCCTCTACCTTAAAGACACACCCCCTTGACACAATTATTTTAGAATCAACGTCATGTGACCCCACGAATTTGACATCCTGAACCTGGACTGACTCCCACACTGAATCAATAATCATGCAAAAAAAGAAACAGTGACCAGTGCCGGGCTCGATCCGGCGACCTTATCGGTGTTAACGATACGTGATAACCAACTACACCAACCGGCCCCTTGCGATATGAGATTTAAAATTTAGTGTTATCTAAACCATACTGGTTATTCCAGCTTGCCGTTGGATGTATGATCACACTCCATGATTCGTGTCGCCACAACATGGAGGGTGGAATCCGCAGAGCAATATTTACGACTCACCTGATCTTGGCCTCTGCTTCGCTGTGCCCCAATAATGGATGGTCGGGTGACATGACAGAGTTGTGGTCGGGTAGCATATATATATATGAAGCGATTCGTGGATCCCGCCTGTGTGTGTATACTGCCCCATACCACTGATGTCCAACCATGTCCAACGCGTGTCGTTGTCGATTCGATGACATATCACCAGATAGCAGCCGAGTAGCGAGGACGGCGATGCTCTCATGGTATATCTTCGTCAATGACAGAGCCAGGGCCCGTGAGCAGGCCATTTCTGGCACATGTGGAGTGAAGTACATGGGCTGCAACATAAAAGCTTGTCTGCTGAAGTGTATCCTTGCCTGGCTAGGATGCATCATGGGATACAATGGAAAGCGCATGTGAAAACAATACGCAGCCATCAGGCCTTACTGTACAGGCTGACCAATCTATATACCTACGACCAGTGGTAACTACCCAAGCACTAGTTCGCAGGCATATGCCATCGAGGGTCATTCAAAGGGAGTTGAAGATTCCAATTGATGCAGGGTATTATTGTGATTATAGTGATCGCACCAACGCTTTTGAAAGGGAATTAAAATACACATAGATCATGAGCATGCACCAAATATTCACTCATATCATCGCCAATACATTGCAGTGAGCAAAAGGCAGATCCATCACTTTGAGAGTTCATGAAACAATGCCAGAATATCCGATGCCAGCATCTGACCCTTTTGGACCGTGAGTTTATTTTGCGTCGTCCAGCACGGCCTTGTCGGTCAGAGGGATGTTCTTGGGTCCTTCGTAGGAGCCCTGACGGACGAACCACCAGATGGCCACGAAGATAGTCAGTCCACCGGTCATCAAACTGGCATAGTTCATCGTAGAAGCGCTGGTGGGCATGGAGTAGGGGAAGCAGAAGATCACAATAAAGGCAACGATGTAGATGGAGCTAAGGATATTGACGACGAAGCCGATACGTCCCATCCAGAAGTAGCCGGGTTGGAAGGTGGAGCGCCGGGTGAGGACATGAGGGAGGATGGCGGCGAGATAGGAGAGGGAAGACAGCTGCACGAAACAACCGACGAAGGCATTGAAAGCGGTGGCGGATCCGACATAAATGCAAGCAAGGACGGTGATGATCACACCGCAGACCAGGGTTGCGTTGAAAGGGTTGTGCATCCGGGTATTGATACGGCCGAGCCAGCCGGAGAAGGGGGTCGCTCTATCACGAGAAATGGTCCACAAGGTACGGCCGGCGGTGATGTAGCAACCAGCACATGTGATGACAGTGGGCAGGAAGGCAACGATCAGCAGACCAAGGGAGCCGCCTCGAGTACCCGTGGCCTGGCGGTAGATCTCGGCAAGGGGGAAACCGTAGGGGTTGGTCATGACCAGATCGAGGTTGTGGATAGAATAGAAGACCGCGATCATATAGAGCAGACCGGTGACGAAGCCGACAGACATCTGAGCGAGGACGGCCTTAGGGATGTTGCGACTGGGCCTATAGTGCCGAATTAGCATACTAGATCCACTCACTCCGACTAAAAGAAGCTCACCGTGGGATTTCCTCTGCAAGGTGGCTAGAGCAGTCGGGAGTGCCAACACTGTAAGCACCGTTGAGCATTCCTGCCACGAAGACAAAGCCGTTGCTCGACCAGCCGGTCTGGTTATTCCAAGTGCGCCACACTGTCTTATCGGTGAGATATGCTTGGCCGTTGACATGAGGCATCACGGCACAAACGATGATAGTGATCAGCACACCGGCAAGAATGAAGAACATCCCAAGATTACCGATGTGAGGGAGGAAGCGGTTCATGAAGAGCACAATGCAGCAGCACATCCAGGTGCAGATGATGAAGCTGATGAAGGTGTGCCATGCGTGAGGGACGAAGTCAGGATGCATGAGCGCGTACATGGAGACGGTCTGCTGGCCCAGGATGGCAGACATGGAGGCAGCACCCAGGATCCACGCAAGACAGTTCCAGAATCCAGCAAAGAAACCGCAAACACGGCCATACTTTCCAGCGGTGATCGAGGCCCAGTGGTAGACTAGTTACTCAGGTGAGCGAGGTTCCCTGAGAAGAAAAGACATAAGCAGAGTCGCGACGTACCACCACTGGCAGAAGGCATCCCCGATGCGAGCTCTGCAATAGATGCTGCAACCAACCAATAACAAACAGAAACGGCAATGCTTAGCTCATGGTTAGCATCGACTGACGATCAATTGATTCGAAGTCATCTTACAATTCATAGATAACACCAGCTGGTCCTCCATTATACATAGCAGTGACCTTGAAATACATGTTAGCTCAACCTTCGTTAGTATTGGTTGCTTTGCCGTGGGTGAGCGTACTAAACTGCCACCTTGAGCAATCCATGTGTTTCCTGTAGTAACAGCGACGGCACAAATACTGAGCAAGCTGAAGTTACGTTCGAGCTCTTGACGATGGCCGGATGCATTGACCAATTCTGTCGAAGGGCGTTCCTCTGCGGCAGCCTCAATTGCCGCCATCTTCTCCGGGTTTTCCACTGCTGCCATTTCGGGTGATGCCATCATGCAACGGACGGAAGTTGAACTGATCGAGAAGAGATCAGACAAGGAGGAGTATTATTATGGCTGAAGCGCAGGTGAATTATTAAGATAGCTTTGGATGACCAAGTTGATGCGATAACGGCGGAGGCAGGATCTCACTGGCTGTGTCCTGCACGGGGTAGGGGTCTGTGGAAGTATGCTCTCGTTACTGCAGATCGGCAAGGGTGTTGATGGCGATTATGAGGGGATATCAATCGGTGCTGGCATATATCACCTCCAGAACCGTCCAGTCGGATGATGAAGAGAAATCCAACATCAGCTCTGCACCTCAACCCGACCGGCAGCAGTTTATAGTAGTTAGATACTCTGAGGGATAGCTGGAGGACCAGCCGGGTGAACACCCATGTCCACCACCCTCAGTCATAATGGTATTGTATTTACAGCTAAGCGTGGGGCTCCGATCTAGTGCAGCAGGGATAAGCATTTTGGGCGAATCATTTTTCTTACCAGCCTGCTCGTGGTGGCTGGACGATCGGAAGCGGGACTGAAAAACATAGACGATTGGTCGATGATAACGACGATTGCAACAGACTTGTATGAAATGTACAGGGGTGCACAGGGAGGGCCTTTTCCCAAAGAGGGAGCTTCAGCAGATGGCACACTCTATCCAGATATCATTCGGAGCAGCTGGCCTCTGAGATGAGAGATTGTAGTTAAAGACTGGTCCAAGTTGGAGAATCCGAGCCCCATGGGACAGCTAGGTATCTCTATCTCCACACTTTTGATATCTTTCTTATCATCTGGGGGAATCATGTAGATAAGAAAACACTGAATGAATAACAGGCAGGAAGACTGATTCAAATAAAACAAAGTGGACTGCCTGAACAGTGCATGTAATCTGCATACAAGACCTGCAGAGTAGTATGTATTATTATCCATATGGCCACCATAGCCTGAGGCATGCAGTAGTTTAAAAGAAAAGTCCACTTGGCTTCTCACGTGCTCTAATTCCTTGATCGTCGGGGCAGTAGTCCATCAATTCTCTCATGGATCCCCCTTGCCTATTAAGTTTGCCCTGAACCTGAGTGACACTCCAACGCCAAATAAACTAGGTTCGTTGAACGAAAAGATGAGTGTGCTGAGTTCGTAACTTCTTCAATGCTGGCGACAGATGACCGTGGGTAGCTCAGACTCCACGCTACGTATTACATTGTGGTCTACGGAGTACCCGTGGCTCGCCCTTGCCACAGGGAAGTATATTGCGTGGGACCTAATTCGGGTACAGCCAATAAGACGGAATTCCACAAAGGTCTCGATTGTGTCCAGTGCAAGCAATTGATTTTGTGGAAATAGTGTTATCCGCACTGCAAAATACTATGACAACAAGATATTGTTCATAAATAATCCTAGGTGCTACAGCCCACAGCCCTACAATAGTAAGGTATGGCTGACCCCAATGGGCCAATATCAACACATTGCCACTCAAGTCAGTGGCTTAATCAACTCAGGAAGCTTGTTGGAGACTTTCGGGTGATATGAATGCCTCTCGGCTAAAAAAATAGCCATCTCTCTTGGCTCGAGTAGATGTAGCGATGACTGCACCAGCGACATCTAGACCATTATTGTATATTAATTAGTATTATTCCAAGCATCCTTCGGATATCATACAACGAGGTGTAGCATGCGGCAGGCTCTGAACTGCGATGTTATTAGTCAATCTGAAACAATATCAAATAGAACTATCAGCTATTCAAGTTT